AAAAAAAAAAAAAAAAAAAATCTCATATAATGATTCTAGACACCTTACAATCCATAAAAACATAGCTAAAAACAGAAGTACCCTTCTCTCCCCCTCCCCCCAGGCACCAGCCAAACAGCCTTCCAGCTCAACCCCCATCCTAGCCCAATGCCTGGGGGAAGAGCCAGGTCTTCACTGCCCTCTGGAAGGCTAAAAGGGTAGGGATCTTAGGTGGAAGGCTGCTCCAAAGGGCTAGGGTAGGACAGGCAGATACTCTCAGGGAGAGGTGGTACTGCAAGGAAATTGGCTCTGTAGGGCTTTAAAGGTGATAACCAGCACCTGAATTGCACCCAGAAAACAACTAGGAGCTAGTGCAGATCATGCCCCAGTGGTGTTGCTCAGGTGAGCCATGGGGCACCCAAAACTCTGCATTCTGCTGCATTCTCATCCAGTTGCAGCTTCCGGATGGTCTTCAAGGGCAGCCCTATGTAGAGCATGTTGCAGTAATCCAAATGAGAGGTGACTATGTGGGGAGAAAACAGTCCAGACAGTAGAGTGATGCCCAGTACTAAGAATGGGGCTAGGGGAGGGAGAGTTAGAATATGTGGAAGCCCCCAGTAATGAACTCTACAGAAAGGAACAGCTGAATAACTCAATGATTTCTGCATCCCTAGATAAATGCACCGAGAGAACATTCAGAACATAGGCATACTGAATTTCAGAACCCATTTCAAGAAGCTTAGAGAAGTACTACCCAGGATCCCATGTACAACATTATCAGGTCAAAGGGAAAATAGAGTTGGAAACTTCTCAAACGAAGATACTTGAATTACAATCATATACCATTACAAAGAGGGAGAGAGAAAATAAAGGGAGACATTTTGGGAAATTGTTGTGGATGCATAGGGAGGTTTTGGCTGAGCTATGGGTTAAAAATGATATGTATATGAAACAGAAGATGGAGGTAATCCCAAGGGAGGATTAGAAGGTTTACCAGCAAGTAGCTAATATCTGCAGAAGGCAAATTAGGACAGCTAAAGTGGAAAAAGAACACTGTAAGTGAAAAAAAGGACTGGCTTGCTGCTAGGAATGCTAGGATAGTTATAGGTAAGGGGGAAGAAGGCAGAGCTGCTCAACTCCTTATTTTTATTTATTAAACCAATTTATATAGCCGCCCACCTCACCCCAGGCGACTCAGGGCGGCACACTTCAGTGTTTTCCATAGGGGAACTGTGTTCCAACAGAGCTACATAAAACAACTGACAAAAGGAGGGAGTGACAACCCAAGGTAAGTAGAGAGATAAATACTAAGAGCAATTTGCTAAGTATTTTCAACAGGAAATGCGTTAGAAAGCTTGGTTTTTATTAGTCCCAAAATACTATAATACTAATTCAGTTTACTGGGACCAATACTGTTACAGTAAACAGAAAATCAGCTGATTAAAGTACCTTAGTGTTAAGTAAACAAATATACTTGGTAGACTCCATGTGATGCATAGTACGCAGTAGAATTACTTGCCTGCTCCAATTCAGCAAGTATTACAAGGGTTTGTATGTTTCCCTCTATATGGGATTTATGCATGACTGAAGTATTATTCTATAAGAGGGGAGATTATAGTAAATTAAGAATTATTGTTTCGTTGCAAACAAAACAGTGCAATCAATAGATTAAGACTACAAATTCAATGCATTTTTTCATTTATTCAAATTTTCTGCAGGAAGTAAACACTGAAAGAATTTAAAAAACTTCACACTGCAATATGTACAGTTTTGCGACATTACATGAATAAGTCATGTCTTAATAAAATGAGATTAATTTTTATTTTTTTAATTAGTGAAAACTTCACAACAAAAAGGCTGTATAAATCCCATAATTCTTATGTATGTCAATGCAAAACAATGTTACATTATCTGAAAATACTGTAATAGAATTTCAGTGGCTTTAAATGGAATTAAAAACTTAACAATATTTGTGATTGGGGGCAAGGAGAGGATATTTTTGTTTAAAAGAAGGTAGTTCTTTTTCCCCAGACCCTTTCATTTGAAGCACATTCCTTCACAAAGCTGAAATACCATAACAGAAGTCATGTCCAGAAACAGAATACAGTGATGTTGGATAATCTGGTTTTGACTTTACAATTTTTGCCATTGCAGAGATGCACAGGGTCCCCCATGCATTTATCATGCAGCAATAATTACAATTTTAAATAAAACATTTCTATACATTCCTCCAGACTTGCACTGTATACATACATGCAAAATGTTAATATTTACATTTATTAATACATGGAATATACAGAACAAAATGATTAAAATGTTAATTTCTTTGCATTTGATATAATACAAAATATGTATTTTAAAGAAACCACTATTTACATCATAGCTTTTAGAAAAAAAAATTAAACATGTTAAGAAGTCTACATATTTACATATGTTGTTAATTTCTTTGCATTTGATATAATACAAAATATGTATTTTAAAGAAACCACTATTTACATCATAGCTTTTAGAAAAAAAAATTAAACATGTTAAGAAGTCTACATATTTACATATGTATAGATATATATAGATATAGATATAAAATATAACTTGCCAGTTTACTCAACTAGGACGCAGCAGAGAATTAACTGGTAATATTTTGCTCTAATCAGTGACAGCCCTATCATAATTGAATGATCAGTCCAGGGGAAAATGAAGTATAAGAAAAAAACACTTATTTCTTGTTATAGAAAGTACATAGTTTAAGGTGGTTGAGTATACCTCAAAAATCAAGTGTTTCTGATCTTGGGAAATTACAGTAGCTCCCTGCTATTCATTAGAGCAGCCTGGCGGGGTTTTTTTCAGATTTCTGCAGGAGCCTGAAAAAAGGCGGTATTGTGTTGAGACTCAGAATCCTTAAAGCGGTGCATCTGTTTTTCAGGTTCACCTGGAAACCTGAAAAAAGTCAGTCTGTTTTAGTGAATAAATGGAGGTGTTCCACTTGCACAAATTCTGAATAGTATTTATTTGTATGTATGGATTTTAGTCGTGCAACCCAATATTATGAATATTCACTTGCAAGTATGCCCCACCATATTCATGTGGAAGTGTGGAAAATAAAACAACTTTTTTTAATTGTAAAAGAGAATGCCAGATTTTGGGGAACTCTCAATTTATGTTTGCTTTTCTAGAATGGTGGAAGAGTGAGATAAATGTTACTATTAGTTTTGTATATATTTTTCTGGTAACCTTGCAATTAAGCTCTGACTCCAATTCTGTACACAGTAGTCTCAATTATATTTTCTGTTTCTGTAGCTGAATTTACATAGGAGATTCAGATAGGATCCAGAGGGAGAAATCAAAATAGAGGCAAACAGAAGGAGTGGATAATCCTTAGTTCCTAAAATAATTTTTAAAGCCAATTGGCTGCTTTTTGTTTCTTGGCTCTCAGCCATCTCTGAGGCCAAACTGACACTAAACCACTTCCAGGAGTATGTGATTATACAAACATACATACATAATACAGACGCATACATACACACACATAGTTCCCAGCATCTAATGCTTAACTGCATTACATGAATCAAGTTAAGGCAGGTGATTTACATAACTTAATTTTAACTGCTACCCAATTCTGAGGTATGCTGTGTCAAGGAAGTAAATGTTTGGGTTGAGACACTGAAAGTGATATTTTGTGTTTGCAGTTTGAAATATTTCTAATATGGTCAGAAAATAGAGAAAGGTTCACATCTGTCAGAAGTGAAATATTTATATAAATAGTACCTAACTGAAAATAAGCTGTTAACAACAGAATCCCTTTAGTGTTTGTGTTGAACAGGCCACAATTCATTAAAGCCTCTTATGACTAGAGCACAAAATACTAAATGTAACCCTAACTAATGATTATCATGAAAATAATACATGTATCTGAATGATGAAATGGCAAGAAGAGTAAAGCAACTAAATACTGTGATATCAAAAAAAGATGCAAAAAAGGTTTTAGTCAGATTTTCATGCCAGTCTGCATGAAATGTAAAGATGTACCTAAGCAGGTCATTTGAGCTTGGTATTTCTTCCTAGATACAAATATTTGATTCATAATTACACACATTGATTTAATAACAAAAGTCTGCAATAGATTGTAGAAAATTTTGAAAGGCCCAATAATATATTCTCTGAGACCCAATAAACTATTCAAGCCCATCAAACATGATCTCAAATATAACTATTAATAGTTGAAAAATGAGATACTGTATTAGAATGGCTAATTCTAAAAGCTGTAAGGCCAAAACAAAACAAAACAAGCAAAAAGTAAGCTGCTCACCCCATTTGTATATGAATAGAGTCTACTGAACCAAAATAATGTTTAAGACATTTTAAGACTGCATCATAATAGTGCATTAATACATGTCTATTAAAACTTGCAAAACATTCTTTGCATGAATCATTCCATGCACAGAAAGTTTGTTTCTGATTATGTTCCACCCAGGCCAAAGTGTGTGTTGCTGGGAAGGGGGAGAGGAGCCAATGGGCAAAAGCAAAGGAAATAATTGGTGGATAACAGCTAGAAAATATAAAGGAAGGGGTTGGGAATTGTTGCCAATGTCTTTGGCTTCAACACTGCCTATCCAACTAGCATGCCCACCCTCTAAATCTTCCCAAGTCTTCCTTTCCCTATTTGCCTTTAGCTGCTGCTGATGTACAGCATAATGAGAAGTAGGGAAAAGATGGCACTGGAAAGATTCGTGAATGAGCTGATGCACAGACCATGCAGAAGAGAAGGGAGAAAAAACACCAGCTTTGCACTACCCCTCTTGTAAGAGACCTCCAGACTTCAAAACAACCAAAATATTCTGGGTTTCAGTTCTGCTGCATCATAGCCGCCTGGAATAATTCAGCAGAACTTCCAAGGCACAATGTGTTTGTTTTATTTAAAAACAAAACACATTTTCCATGTTATACATATCCCTAACTAAAAAGTTCAATTTAATTTGATTAGTTCTTTTCTTCAAATAACAAGCATAGGAGTTGAACCTCAATAATATTCTTAGAGTTGAAGCAAAACTCATAACTGTAGTTTGCTCCTACTAGTATAGGTCACCAATTTGTATGGCTGTAATGAGGAATTAGGCAAAATCATGGAGAAGAAAGTTACTGATGGCACTTAGATATGATGGCTAACTTCTCAAGGAGCAATGGTAGTTTCTGAAAAACATAAATGGGAGGATGTTACTCTATTTATATTTTGTTCATGAATCATCTGATGGCATATTAATCATTGCGGGAATAAATTTCTGGATTTATAATTAGATGACCTTTCTTCTTATCTAACCTCAGCATAACCTTTCTCTTTTTAAGTTAAAATGTTGTCTAAACAATGATATGTATGTTTATATATAAAAGTTTAGTCAGTCACCAATAACTATTACACACACATTTTCACCATAGCTAAAGCTATTGAGCTGAGCTGCAATAAACTTGGCTTTTTGTCCTTAAACAGATGCAATTTCCCCCCAAATCCGTGGAAGACTTGAATTGATCTGGATTTAATTGCAGTGAAAATTGTTACCAAGTAATGTGATGAAAAGAAATGCAGAAAATTATATATAAAAGTATATAACCTTGGGTAGTTCAAAATTATAAATACATAGGATTTGTGGTTAATCAATCCACCATTTCTCCAGAACTAATCTTCTAAATTAAAAAACTGTTGGCTATTTTTTATTTAGCCTTGAAATTTGTTTAACATAAATTTAATATCTAGCGAAATAAATTAAACCAAGAATTCTGAGGATAATAAAATTATTAGTGAGGTTTCTTGCCACTTTCCTCCCTACATCTCTGGTCTTCTATGAATCAATAAAATAAAACCTTTTACACTAGTGACTGCTTAGTCTTTACAATTTTTTCCAGTTCTATATTCAAATTTAGAGTTTATTTATTTTAAGGCATTCAAATGTTAAAATCATTCAGTTCTTCCAATTTACAATTTCTTTGTTATTGCTGGGATAGAAAAAGCTAAAAAAAATGACCATGAGCTGGTTTTAGACCATCTGATAATTTATACATCTTTCATCTTAGCTATATAAATCTTTTACATATATGAATTCATGAAAAAAACAGATCACGGTGATGGACTGACTATTATATATATATATTCTTTTTTAAGCATAAGTCAGCATTGGTTCTGGAAACTTTCAACTTTATTCATATGTTAATTTCACTGGAAAGTTTGAATAAATGTAAATAAAGAAACAACTGAAAGTGGTGAAAGAGCCTTGTCTTTTACTGCCAGCAATTTATGATCCAACTTCATTACTTTTTTAAAGTCATAACCTAGATTTTAATTTATTTCAGCTGAGTGTCTAGGGAAGGCAACTAGAGAAAAGACAGTATATTTCTTGTGGTTCTGTCAGATTACCAAAACACAATTAAAAGCCATTTGGAAGCACTAGAAATTTCATTGTGCACAATTCTCTAGTTAACACTGATAAGGATTACAAAAACAACAAATAAATGACTTGGTCTGAATGACGATCCATTTATATATATAAAAATATTCTTCACATTTTATAAATGAGCAGACAGCACAAGATGTTACTAGCCCAGTGGTGAGAGAAGAGAAAATGTATAATGTTGACTGATGCATTTCCACCTTATACTTAAATTATACTGCATTACATGAGTAACACCAGTACTCCTAAACATGATCCTGTTTGTACATATCTTACTGCAGTTGCTTCTGCCTCTGTAGTTATTCCTGCATTCGTCCAGGTATATATAAATAAATCTGCCCATATGATTTCTTTGCCGTGTATACAAATCACATACAGCTGTTTGAGAAGTCTGTGATGTATCACTTGCATGGTTTTGAAACATATAAGGAAGATATATGAGTTTACATCAGCACATATTTATGTGCAAGGACAGTAATAGCAGTTACTCACTGAGTACAATCCAGTTGCAAATTACTAATGGACATTTATATAATTAACAAGTCATGATGACATGTATTGTGATAAATTTCCTATAAAGCAAAAATAAACAACAAAAGCTGTATGCATTTTAAATATCAGCAAAAAATTTCATCAAACAAAACCACAGCTATACCATGCTCTTCTCAAATCATGCTAGATTTACATTACTTTATTCAAAGAAAAGATTTAAACCTGACTGTAAACACCTTGTAAGATTATAACTTATTCTGGTTCTTTTTTTATGGTTAATACCTTTTCTAAGAATCCATATACTTGTCCATTGTGTTGAATGGATACCTTATTATTTGAATGGCTACTGTACGTACTTCTTCTATTAGGAAATGTTTTACATTCTATGACAGGAGATAACTCTTTCTTCATTGTGACAGAAGATGAATTTTCTATCAATGATTTATCTCTCCAAGCAACTTTGTTATGTGTTTCCTGAATATTGATAGGGTTTCCCCCCTTTTGTAACATGTAATACAATATCGGATTAGTTTGGGTCAGTCTTGGGGAGTCTCTCTCATGTTCATTTTTGTCAGAATCAGTGATGACCCATTTTAGAGGTCCCCTTTCATTAGGTACATGACAAATGCTAAACTGGTCACATTCTGGCTTTGATGATACTGTGCCTCCCAAATGTTCAGTGAAGGGAGAACTGGCAGGACTCTTCATAGCAACTGAATATTGAAATGTTTGGTAGTCCAAGCAATTGCTTGGTTGCCCAGGGTTCCCTACTAGTGTATGTACAGGAGAAACACTGAATTCAAATTTGTCATTATTTCTTAGGTTATGTTTGCTTCCTTTCTTTTTGCCATCAGTTACTGATAAATGATTTCTATGCTGAGACATATCTTTTTCACAATTTTCTGATAGAAGCAGTTGCTTTAGTACATTAAATCCTTTACTTTCTCTAGACCAATTTATGTTTTCACTTTCATTATTTGACCCATAACCTGAAGAATATTTTAATTCAAGATCAGTTCTGGTGAACTTAGATTCTTTTTGGTTAAGACCACTCCCATACAAAGCATCTGCAGTAGACTTATGATTGTTTGTGACATCAGATATTCTACTTTTGTCACTTTTTAGTATTTTTAAAGGACCTTCTAAAGATTCGAAATGCAGTTTTCTCTTTTTGGGGAGCATACTGTGACTTTTTGATTCCACAAAAGTCGGTTCATGGTTTCTCCTGTCCAGAATATCTGCAGAGCAGCCATCTTGACTCTGTCTCAGCAATCGACTTAGGAGGCCATTCTTCGAAAAAGAAAATTCTTGAGATGTAAGAGAGTGGGACTGAAATTCTTCTGATGCTGTAGAAATAGCTATATTTCTCTCTAATGAATTAGCCATTTCTGGAAATTTCTTATTAATATTTTCAATTGTTTGTTGAACATTTGAATTCTGAAGGGCACTGGATTCTTCCTCAGAAGGTTCAGCTTTTATTTTTACAGTTAATATTTGTTCATTCAAAACTTTTTCTGTTGGATCTTGTACGCTCTCTTCTTTTAAAAACATTTTCTCTTTTGTTTCACTCATATTTTTGTTGGAGGTTCCCAGAAGTAACTGGAGCACAGTGCGTCGTTCCAGCAGATTCTGGATTTCTGAACCAGGAAGTTTTTGTTCTCCTGGGAGAAACTGATTAGTGAGCATTCTGTTTTCTTCAAGTGTACATGATGTGTTAGGAAGTAGGGAAGTATTTAGTCCATCTATCAACCCTACTGGTTTCTCAGTGTTAAGAGTCATCAGTTGTTTGCTTGTTTGTCTTTGGTTATCCACTGACATGGAAGACTGCATCCCACATTGAGCTAAGTTTTGCAATAGTTTACTTGCACTGAAAGATGAAGATGTTTGTAAAGTTTCTTTTTTGTTCTGTTTACTTCCATGAAGTTCTTTGTGTATAGTAAGATCTATCAAGTGTTTAGAAGCTGGATTATTTAGTCTCTCAGGCTGTATGATGCAAGTATATGGTGGTGAATTACATTTTATCATTAAAGGAGAATTGTGTGAAAGGTTGATAGGTGAATCTGCTTTTGCAGAAGTTAGTAAAGGAGGAGTATGTACTGGAATTATTCGATTAGTACTAGAGGAGTCAGTGACAGGAGTTCTGTTACTCATTGGAAAATTAAATTTTGCCACATCAGCTGGAACTAATGTTCCTTTGGTTTCTTTAACTTTTGCTGTTGTGTCTTCATCCTTATGGCCGAGTAATAACTGGAGTAAAGTTACTTTTTGATGTGGATTCAATTTTGTGTTTTTAGAGGGATCCTTTTCTTCTATATTTTCCAGGCATGGGACTTTTGATTCCCAATTATGAAATAAGGATTGAGTTAAATTGTCTAGAGAAGCTGATTGCCCTGAATCTGGAGTATTTGTTTTTTGTTTGAAAGACAAATCTATAGGAAGACAATTTGAATGGGAACTTTCATCATCACTACTATCATCTTCTGTAAAACTTGGGTTGTTGTCAGAGTATTCATCAACAGTAGTTGGTGTACTGCTTTCCTCAAAAATGCTGGACCTGTCATTTTGTTCATATCGCTTATTCTGTTTAGTAGCACTGTGATTTTTCAGGAGGTGCAAAAGTAAACTACTGTTGGTAGGTGGCTTCATATGACTTTTTTCCAATGTCTTGTAGCTTATAATTTTAGGAGATGAATGAATTATGCCCATATGACTCTGAAAATTTGTGATATTGCTTTTATTGGTTATTGTTTTGTTTGAAAATCTTGCCTGACCATTCAGATGGCTTTCCATTCCTTTTGATAGTTTAAAATGACCAACATCTTTTGGAACAGTTTCTTTTAACCTTGCCATAGCTGAAAGTCTCTCACTTGCAATTTGATTGGCATTTTGTGCTTTTAGAGCATGTTCCCTGGAATACTGCTGCAAGTGTGCTTCACTTGAAAGAAGCAAAGCAAGTTGGCTACAGGCAACACTGGGTTTAGGAGATGCAGCAGGACTAGATCTTTTTTCTACCATGCTTGCAACAGCTTGTAATCTTGCAGCACAAGAAAGTGATTCATTCATCACTTTTGAACCACTCTGTCCTGAATGTGTAGATTCTTTAAACCGATCTTGAACTAGGTTAGTTGTTAGCTCTGGCAGACCAGTCTCCAGTTTTTCATCTTTCAATTTGTTTTTCTTCAACAGAGTCTTCAAGTGACTGGATGCAACACCATAGCACCTCAAGTCTTTCTCCATTTGCAGAGAATCATCGCTGAGGGAATATCCTTGCTCCTTAAGACTCTGCCTAATTTGTTGTGACAAAGCAACACTCTGCAACCTAGAGCTAAATGACTGTAGTAAGGAAGCTAGCAATGTGCTATCTTGCTTGCTTTTAGGCACATTTTCAACCATGCCAGCCAACAATGCTTCTTTTTTCTCATTTATATCCACAAGAGAATCAGACAATCGCCCTTTGTTTTCAGCAGTCCAGTCTTCAGAAGACTGTAGCAGTCTTGCCTTTTTATGATGCAACATGCCAGAACTTCTATATGTATGTGTGTTAGGAACACCATCTCTCTGACAGCTGGGAGATGCATTTCCAGAAACACTGAAATTCTGATCTTCAGCATTACTAGTAGGCTTTTTGTCAACCACAGAACCCGAACCTCCGGCTGTCTGATGCATTAGTAATCCTTCTAAGTAAGTTAGAACAATGGAATCCTGGTGCATCTCAGAGACAAGATCTTCTCCATGAGTCATGTTCAATACAAGTATCCACAAAGGCTCTCTTTTTATTCTGCTTATGATCTAATTTATTATATATGAACTGAAATTTAACTTAACAAATAAATGTATAAATTTCTTCCAAATTTGATGCAAGACAGGTGCAATTGTCTTTTGCAGATCTTTCCATTAAGCATTTGTAGAAAATCCAACGTTCCATTTTTATCAATCTCTGCTTTGATATGCACCATTTATGATGCCAAGAACTATTTAAAATATGGTGCCCGATTAAAAATGTTCATGTTCTTCAGGGATTGATAACATTGTTTTCCATCTTTTCTCATCATATTATAAGCACTTGATTCCTGTAAAATAAGAAGAAATAAAATATCAATCCAAAGCAGAAAATAGATTATATTAAATACAAGCAGGTGTATTTCAAGATTCTATATACAATTTCCTGCATAATTTTATCACTTTTCACTTTATTTTGAAGAGCACTGGAAGCTGCAATAGGTCCCAAATGCAGTTGTGTGGGCAATTTATGGATGCTTCCACAATACTAATAAATACATCAATACTCTTTAGAAAACCTTGATCAAGATATTTATTGGATTTGTTAAAAATTTAGGAAAGTTGTAGATTGATCATTTACGCCAAGTGTCAAATTGCTAGTTCTGAAAGTTACTTCTGATGATTTTGTAAGCCATGCAGTTTTCTAACTTATGCGAGCCAAATTTTTTTTTCCAACTTGTTTTAGCCAAAAGGCCTTTACAATTATGTGAACCATTTTTTTTACAATAGTGAACAGCCAGTAAGGAAAACATGCATATCTATTCAAATGTCTTAAGTCTGACTTTTTTTATGTTCACTGTGTGTCTGAATCTAGATTAGGAAATCAGTTATGTTCTTGGTTGGAAGACAGGCTGCACTAATTAGAACAACACTGTTATTATTGCAAAAGATGCTACTACTTAACATTAAGTTCTTAAAACTTTAAAATGACAAGTATTTAAAGTAGAGATGTTATGGATTATCAAACAATTTTGGTCATAACTCTTACCAGAAGATTTTAGTTTTCTTAATGAAAAAAAAAAGATTTGTCTTCACTACTTATTCTATTACTATCAAGAGAGTTGAACAGGTAGTACAATTTGTTTAAAAACCAATGAATGAAAAACAAAGCAGACACATTTGCACATAGCAGATTTCTTATTTATATAATTGTCCTGAGACTAAACATCAACTATTATAAGGTCTTCACACCAATTATTTGCAGAATGAAGTATTACATGTTTTCAATCATTTATAATAACACAGCATATTTAAATCTGATTAATACAAATGATGAGGCAGATTTATGCCAATTTGATTTGGAACAATTGCTGCCCACTGCTTGAGGTTGTTATGGTCTATTGGTTTTATTCACTTGGCAATTTCTTAAGTACCTATGACTTAATTAGTACTGTGTATCTTTGTCCCTAGCAGTGCCTTTGGCTATTGATGATGGGTCAATCTCCTAACCATTGAAGTCCATCAGGATGTTCCCTGTGCCATTATTTTTATGATTTCCTCTCCTTCGTTTGTATAGTCCTACTGACCTTAAGACTTACCTATGTGTAAGAGATACATTTAAGCTTGTATCAAAATGTAATACAGAGAAAGCAAAAGAGAGATTCCTATGTTGCACTTCTCCCAATTCCAGAATTTAAAATAAAAGTGTTGCTCCCTTTTTTCTTGTTTGCATGTGCTGCTAATTTTATTAATAGGTTATATATGTCAACAAGAAAAAGACAAAGTGTAAATTATGGAAAAAAATACACTTCAGAACCACTAGGGAAACAATACAAAATAATTGTTGTCAGCATTACAAATCTATTGAACAACCATAAATGGTTCCAATAAAAATCATATAATCTGCCTATCGCTAAAATTGGTTTGACACACAGACATGATACAAGATCAAGGTCACAAATTAGAAACAAGATTACAAACATGACTGATGTAACAGCTGGCATCTGATCAAAGTTTCATAGAACTCCCCTTACAAAATACACAGTGCATTTTCTTTTTGATTCCTTAAAAATATCTTATACATATTTGAAATAAGTGATATTCTAAACAGCAATTCTTATCGCTAAAATTAACAAAAAAAACCCTGACAGGTTCAGTTTTACCTTTTACTGGTAGCCCCTTATAATCTATATCTAAAAGAAAAATAATAATATTCAAAGTCCAGAAAATTTGAGTTTAGTGATAAGAAGTTTTGTTTCCTGATATTCTAGGAAGGAGATTGTCAAATAAATGAATGAAAATCTGTAGAACAACAGGAATGAACTCTTTAGGGGATCTTTTTCTAGATCCTTTTGCATTTTGATTTTTAAAGGGAATGGGTAACTCTCTTTTGGTACAATCAAATTAACTTTCTAGGTTTGGAAAGGTCAATATTTCCATTTTTTTTGGATTAGTAGGTTTTGCAGGAGTACAGTAATAATTCTGGGAAGTTCAAAGGAAGTTATGGATTTCTTTTTTTTTTAATGGACAATTATTCCACAACAGCACAAATAAGTCATAAATAATGTTAGAGAGGTAGAAGTAGCAGTAGTCTATGCAAAGTAAACTTCTGAGGAAAGAGAAATAAGCAACATATGAAGTAGCATGCATCATAATCACAATAGATGCTGAGATGGTGGAATTCAAGAGGAATGAAAAACATTTAAGCTTCAAAAGGCACTCAGAGAAAGTTAACTCCTATCCATTCCTGATGATCCATGTGGGAACAAATTTGATAGCGAGATGAGATGTTAATTGGCCTTCCAAACATTAGGCATTTTAGAGAGAATCATCAATGTGCCTAATTAAAAAAAAATGGCATTAGAAGGGGGAAAAAAGCAGCAACTAACATGTGAAAACACTAGGACAGAGAATTTTTTAAAAGTTCTCCATATGATAATTAAGGATTTTCTTTCCTAAGGAAGGAAAAAAAAAATCTGTACTCTCATCACAGATCCCCAAACATTACTAATTACATGAAAACCAGTTGGAAAAAAATAATAAAATCCCACTGCCCAATTACTACGTATCACACAACAATTCCTAATTTGTCATGAACGAATGCTCTATTCATTAATAATTGTGTTAAAAATTATAATTACAATGATATTTAGAAATATAGTACCAACAGAAAACATATCTAACCCAATATAAATGAAATACACTATAATCTCATCACTTTTAGCTACAATAAAGCCTCAATCTTAAATATAACAACATAATAAATGTTATAGCATTACAAATGGTTCAAACAAAACAATATTTTTATCTGTGGGCATAACAACAACAACAACCAGGCACATTTAGCCTACTTCCACTTAAAAACTGTGCTGTCTAATACAAAACAGATAAAAAATTAGCAAGTAGCCAGAATTGAAATAAGATATAATTAGAATGAACCTACTTAAGCAATACCTAACTTAAAACTGAGCAAAAGAGATTAAAGTTGAAAAAGATTCTTAATTTTCAAACTCTTTTTAAAAAATATATCAATAAATTTATTCAGAGCTAAATTAACTGATCTAAATCTGAAAGAGCCCTGTTATCTACATTTAGACTCTGAAATTATCCTTGCTTCCTTATAAAAAGTCAAATGCTCAGTATTCAGCTGGATAGTTCAATAAAGATGAATGTTCTCTATTTTACTGGGCTTCCTTGAATGTCATCATGACTACTGAATTTATCAGCATATAACACACACTTTTTTCCTTAAAATTTGGGGCTGAGATCCTAACTGCATGTTCTATGCCGATATTCAAGCAGCAGAACTGGGACAGTGGAGCTTTCATTTGAGCCAGGGCTGTAACCGGGGCAGCTCCAGAAGTGAGAGGCAGGCGAGCGAGTGAAAACCCACCGCGTGAGGGAAAATCAGTGCTCCCCAGCACTTGTGCGAGCAAAAACCTTGCGCTCCCCATCTTGTGCGGCACTCTCCATCTCCTGCGAGCTAAAACCGGCACTCCCCAGCGCTCACGCGAGCGCTGGGGAGTGTGGTTTTTGCTCATGCGAGCGCTGGGGAGTGTGGGTTTCCCTCACACGAGATGGGGAGCCCTGGTTTTCGCTTGCTCACCCGCTGCTCACCTCCTGCTCTGCAAAGCTCAGGCACTTGCGTGAGCGATGAGGAGCACCAGTTTTCTTCGTTCAAAGATGTGCTTTTTCTTTCACATTACATATGTACCTTATAAGTGGTATAAATATTAATAAACAAAAAGTTCAGAGCTTCCTTTATTTTGCTTCCAAGTCATTTATTTTAAATTTAAATTTTTTTTACTCAAACTTCCTTAAAATTAAGGTGCTTGTTATACGCTTATGCGTGTAATAGGCCGATAAATATGGTATATACTTTGCACCCAAGGTTCATTAATTAGACAATTACCTTTTATACTATCATTTTTATCTCTGTTCTTAATTGTCAGCCTGTTTTCGTTCCTTTAAAACTTAGACATAGCAAATTCTTTACATTCTAGAAATTTCAATAAGTTATTAAAAAGGTTTTTTATTGGAAGAACAAACACCTAGATTTTCTTTATCTAAATTATTAGTAATTTGATTATGGGAGTTATAACATTCCTGATTTTCAGTTTTACCATTTTGAATTCTATTTCACTTTTTTAAGTTCTTTTTTAGTATGATGCTACTGCATTTAAAGTATTTCCAGTCTGCAAGGAATATTTGGAAGGTTTGGGGAGGGAAGTGTAATTATGACCCCTATTTACATGATAATCTTACATTTTAGGAAACTTTGAATCCTTGCAGGGGAATGTTTTATGGTAAAATTCACGAGCTAGTAGGAATGCTGTACTTTAGATCAGCTAATGGGCAGTCACGTTTTTAAATAATTTGAGATATTACAAGAGCAATCTGGAAAGTCCAAACCAAATATAGTGAAAGTGCATTCAAATAAAACAATCTGATCCAGATTCATTAGCAGTAGTTGTGAGTTATTATCAGAACCAAAGTGTGTTCTAGATTATTCCAAATCTAGTATTTTTTAAAATTAAAATATATTATTAAGATGCATTATTAATTTGGAATGAGTTCACATTATATGTCTTAAAGAATATTCAATATAATTATTACAATCTTAAGAGGATTCTTAATTCAACAAGCTTATTGGATGCTTCAAATGTTTTGATTTAATATCAACATCCTAAATTTGTTTGGGATATTGGCTTTTATTCAGACAGCACAAATGTACTGCAGCAACCTGAAACACCAGAAAAAGGAAACAGACCACCTATACAACATCTTCCAACAAATGGATACCCAGTACAGCACAACCAACACAAGCTATGAAAAGGATAACACTACCATA